ACCCCGCGCCAATAATGTGCCCATCCGCCAATGTGTCCGAGGGTAATTCGGAGGAAGTAAAGGCGAAGCTGGGAGGGAGGAAGGGTTCACTCAGGCTGATGCAAGAAAAGGCAGCCAGAAGAATGAGTCTGTTCCGGTCCAAGTCTTCGCAAGGGAATCCACATAAGGAAAAGGGGGCCAGTACTGTTCGGCCAATGTCACGGAACTGCACCACGGCCACCAGTCCCAGGTCCAACTCCGTGACTTTTGAATCCGCCGCCGCCGCCGGTTATCTGCAGCCACACCAGGAGAGGTAAGTTCCATTCATCACAAAGATCCGCTTCAAGATTGCTAACAATCATGTTCCATAGCTGGGCTCATCCGCCCCAAACCCGCCCAACCTGGAACTACGATACAACTACTTATGCCTCTCAGCGACTGATCAACCTTGCTGAGGAGCCGGCTTTCGTACACACAACTGCCGTATCCGAGCGCGCAACGACCATGACAGAGCATTCATGGAACGGCCAAGATTACTTTGAATACAACGGAGCTCCTGCTAGAAAGCATTCATGGAACGGCGGGGATCACTTTGAGTACAACGGAGCTCCTGATAGAAAGCATTCGTGGAACGGCGGGGATCACTTTGAGTACGACGGCGCTCCTATTAGACGCGCAGACTCCGATCTTTCTCTCTATGTGCCAGTCCGCAGACGATCGATACTTCAAACGCCCGGCGTGGCAACGCGCAGAACTTCCACAAGAGATGGCCTGACCCACTCGCAGTCATTCCGGTATAGCCACCCACAAACGCCACAGATCTCGCGCCAGCAGTCCATCGAGTCTTTTAGGGAGGGCATTCTGTCCATGCCGCCACCTGGACTAGATCCATTGGCTTTGCAGCGGGTTGTGACACCATGCGAGGACGAATATCAGTCAATTGGAGCTTTCAAGCTGGGAACGTTGCGTATTACCAACGGTACTGCGAGCCCATTGAGCCCCGAGCTCGAGGGGAAGGGACAGAGAGTAGACTATTTTTCGAGGGTGCAGAGCAGCCTTGATTCACGTGCGGAGGCGTCACAATTCCTCCAAGTCAAAATACCAGAGCCGCGTGTGGTGAAACCAGCCAACAACGTTTTGGCTGCCCTGTCCCAGAATTCAACTCAACCCGAATATTCTTCAAACGAAGTCCTGGACGTCCGTCTGGACCCGAATGCAAAGTCGCAGCCTAGCACATCCCCCAGCAGTGATGCGGCTACGACTGTCGCCAGAACCGACAGCGGGTTCATGAGCATCTTTGACGAATCTCTTAACACCAAGCCTTTGGCCAAGGCCGATTCTGGATACAGTTCCAATGTGTCTTTGCGCTCGCTCCACACCAAGTCTAAGATCTCCGATCGGGAGAAGAACAAATCAGACGAGATACAGATCAGTCCAGTCAAGGTTCAAGATTTTGGCCTCGACATTCCACTCAGTGTTTCTCCCCCTTCAATGACGCCCGAATCAGAGGCGCCTCCATCAGTCCCTGCTAAAGATACTCCCCCAGTCTCTCCTCTCGAGGGAGGCCAGATGTTTGAGAATCTCCGGAAGAGTCTTTCTCTCCGCGGTCAGCAAGCTAAAGCCGGTCTCCTCACTCCCAAATCCTCGCAGAAAAGCGAAAAGCGTCCTTCACTAAGTGGCAGTAGCCCGAAGTCTCCCGAACTTAGCAGCCTTACTCCAGCCAGCACCAAGTCCAGCAAGTCAGATCGTTCAAACTCTGCTCACAGCATCAGCAGCACGTCACAGAAGCCGAGCAGGCTGCAGAGATTTTTGAGCGGAGCTCGCCGTCCCACCAGTTCTCTGCCTACACACAGCCGTCATGCACCTGAAGAGATATGCGTTCCAGCCATCTCGAAAGACGTCGAGCACGAATTCCGTGACCACGGCCGGCGCTTTCCCATGACCGCTAGGAGGCTGGCTCTCAAGCCCCGTTCCAGCATGGACACTCTGAAGACCATCTTTAGTGTGGGCAGTGTTGAAGCAAGCCTCGAAGCAACCACCGCCAAGCCGACGGTTACCACCGTTCCTGAGGCGGAAACTGGCGAACTTGCCGCGACCAAGGGTGTGTCCTGGAGAAAGTCGATTAAGAAGTCGATGGTCAGGAAGCCCGTACGTACTAGCAAAGACGATATGAGGGAGGGCCGCGAAGAGGAGCAACCAGGCGTCTATGATTCGATTCTTCCACCCAAGAGTGGAAAGGTTTACGGTAGTACTGTCAAGAGCAGCTCCGGGTCCGAAGCACTCAAGGAGGCGGAAATGGCCGGATCCAGATTACCATGCGATCGGACAATGAGTCTCACTGTCTCGCTTGAGCGAACTCTCAATATGCAGATGGTTGGAGCGCACTCGAACCTGGCTGGCTTGCCTACAGAACTGCCCCCGGCGTCACTCCCGAGCCCAGTGATTTTCCGGACTGCGTCCATGACATTCGACCACAAGACGACGCATAATCAACCACCCGTCAGCATGCAGACGAGACGGTCGTCGCTTCGGGTGCCCCAACCTCATCTGCGGCCACAATCGTCAACTTCCAGCTTGAGACATGAGGTCAGCCGTGAGGATGTTCACAGCTATCCATCTGTGCAGTCTAGTCGCAGACCGAGCAGAGAAAGCATCCACAGCTACCCGGTGCACGAACAGGCAGCTCAGAACTACAGTGCTCACGAGGAATTGGGGACTATTGGCCAGGACTACTTGGGCACTTCGGCTGCTCCTCCCCAGATGGACCCTCGACGACTCGCCGCGTTCAGGCAGCGCCAGAATACCTTGCCTCCTACCTACAGGGTTCCCGACTGGAATCCACCAACCAGGAGTGACATCAGCCGTCAGTCGTCCATGACATCTTCGAATGGAACGAGTCATCACAATTCTAGTAACGGAATCCAAAGGCCGAGCAGTGCCCAGCCTCGCCATAGTTCCTACATCCAGCGGGCTCAGACGCTTCGTCATAGGCCCAGTCATGACGCTTATCAGCAGTTGCGCCTCCAGAATGCTAACCCTCCGGACATGTCAAGTGTCTACGGAGTGCTGGCAAACGAACCCTGGAGCAACCCCAACATGGACTACAGGGGAACTCAAGGGCACGTGGTGCCTGACAGCACATACCCGTCCTACGTTCCCCGACAGACAGGCCATCATAGGAAGCGTAGCATGAGCATGCACACTTCGCATGGTCCTAATCCGCCTTATCGGATCCTTCACAGCTACAACTCACCAGCTTACCGCAATGCCCCAATCTGGGGCTAATGAGCGATGGATGGGTTTTGCCAACACTCCTTCTATCTCTTTGTATCAGTTTTCATCATTTCGTCATAAACCTTCATCTCATCATTGATACCACGTCTTGCATACTTGGGCGTTTCTGGAAATTTAACTCATCAACCCACTTATTCACTGCTTTTCAGAGCATCGACATCTTTTTGTTTCCTTATCCTTTATTACCTTTTCTCGTGGCTGGCTACTAGCACTACGTACGACATTTTGTCTAGCAGTCTCTTGTTCATTTTCGATTCTGGTTTGGGGATCTGGCATCATCATCATCATCTTCATCCTCCATCATCTTGGATAATTATGTTGGATACTACCAGTTTGCGTCCGCCATCGCTGGCGAGGAATTTATAGATATCCTACTTCGTACATATTATATATATACACACACCACTATCATTACTACTATACCCAGGGAAAACAGGGAAGGGGCAAACAGGAGAGGGTAGGAAGGAAGAAATCAAGGGAATTGCCACCGAGAGGGAAAGGTCGCTGGAAGAATTTATTGGTTTGGGTTGGGAGGAATCGCTAGGGAGACTGAGGATAGCTGTTCCCGCATACTATATAGGGGATACAAAACATGTAATTTACCTTGTAGTAACTTTTACATACCCAGGTTCTTGATATGCAATTCTTTGTGCTGGATGTGATGCGTGATAACGCTTAGCGGAAGTAAAGTTGATTTCTATCCGGGACGCCTGCTTCTGCATTTCCGCACTATAGGATGTTGTTGCAAGACTGCTTTCAACAACCAATCAACAGCCCGATTAGCTCAGCTGGTTAGAGCGTCGTACTAATATCTTCTCTACGAGATATCAAGTCCATGCGAAGGTCAACAGTTCAATCCTGTTATTGGGCATTTCTTTTTCTCTTTTGCATCTTTTTTTCCATTCCTTTTCAATGCGTTCAACTACTTTTCAGTTCCTCTTGTAATCATCGTTCATATCATGAATGGTTTTGTTTTGATCTTGACAATGTGAGACGTCCGAAATAGGGAAATAATCTCAAACCGGACAGACACGGCTTGCGCGGAAGCTCCCCGCCAACTAAGCAGCTTTAGCAACCTGTACAATTGATACTTGCTGGACTATTTAATGACTGCTTTCCTCAACTTGCTTGTACGTCAATTCTATTTCCCTTTTTTTTACCCGCCTTCAAATGTAGTTCATCCATCGAAACAATCAATAGTCCATCATCCTAAAGCCAAGAAGACGTGCAGTGCCAACGCTGCCAGAAGTGACGTCATCCGCAACACACCCAACAACAACCACTGTGGCACTGCCTGATACACAGTACAGTACATACAGTCCATGTGAGCAGTCAGTTGATGAACATCTGAAGGATCACTCACTCACTCACTCACTTGTATGTATCGGGTAAAGCTCGCCTGTCAATCAGTTAGTCAGTCAGTCAGTCAGTCAGTCAGTCAGTCAGTCAGTCAGTCAGTCAGTCAAGTCAAGCCAATACTATGCATAGTGTATGGTAGTCGGTCACTCGACACAAGTCCCGACAAGACCGCGAAACAACCAACTAGTGTAAACAAACTAACGAAGAATGTTGTTAGCAACAGTAACATAAACATAACATAACATAAACAGTAATAGCGATCGATCGATCTATCTAGTTACTTACTCCCAAACCGAAACGAAACCCCCCCCGTGATCTCATCACACAGACAATCCAAACATCTCGAAATTGTCAAAGAGGAAAACGAAATGACGTCCCCGCCGTCTCTATCCAGGAAAGAAGCAGAATCCCAAGTCCGCTCGTGGGGATTCTCCCATGTGTTTACGTGGACTGATGGGGGTGGTGCTCGTATGTCTCTTTCTCTTCTGTCTCTCTCTCTCTCTCTCAGTTTCCTTTCTTGACACGGGGTTACCCCCGTTAGCACCCTGTCTGTCAAAGGGAAGTGGCGCCCCATTGAGGGAAGCGTCCACCTTCGCTAGAATCAAGCATATAAGGCTTGACGGACAGACAGTCAACTCTAAGACAGAGTTAGACAGAACAAGAATCATCACATCTATCATTCTGCTTTACGCTGGTCTCCACGCATCATTTCTCCTTACGCCCTTTCTTTTGTTTCCCCTGTCCCACCTCTCTTCTTTCCTATTGTGCCATTTTCCATTTCCTATTTCCCCATTCCCCCCTTTCCTCTCATTCTGTTCATATATACTTCAAATTATCATCTTCTAACAGATAACATCAAACATAACAGACTACGCCCCGCACAAACACTCGTCCCTAACTACGCACTTGATCCTCTCTGGGTCTCTGACCATCGCTTACCCGGGCTCAGAAGACAAAAAGGAAAAGACGACGCATGGGCCTGGGGAGAGATTGGATGTTGATGCTGGGCAGGTACATGAGGTTTGGATTGGGAAAGAGGGTTGTACGTATGTGATTGGGGAGTGATTGATTATAATTGATTGGGGAGTGGAAGAAGGGTGGTGAGTGGTGAGTGAGTGGATGGATTGTTTGATGAGTGATAGAGTGAAGGGGAAGATAGTACAAGTAGTGGTTATTGAAAGAGGTATATGCCATTGAAGCGGGACAGGGCGATGACACCCAAATCACAGTATATCTATCTATCCCTTTTCGAAATCGTTGGAAGATAACCGAGTTCCGTTATATATGAATATCCCGTTGTATTCTTGCCAGTTCCTCCTTTCTATCCATTCTTCCGAGTTATATTGCCCTATGTACTCCTTCCATGACCGCCCTGCGATCCCCTTCCATGGTAACCAGCATCCAGTTACCCAAATACAACGAAACGTTCAACACCATGACAGTAACCAAGACTCTTTATTGCCCATTAGTTATTATAATTGACCCCGACGCCATCGTTCCTGGCCATATCTTCACTCAACTGACCATCTCCGACGAACCCCATCACGACCATCATTTGACCGTTTCTCTCCTCCTCATCCACTTACACCATTAGTTGCCCCTTTCTTTCCTCCTATCTTCTTCCTTCATCCCAGCCCCAACTCCAGTCGTCTTGTTCTCCCATCTACGTCGTTCCCCTTCCCCATCCTCTCTCCTTTCCCTACTCGCCGTCCCACCCCGGCCCTCATCTCTGTCTCCGTCCTGTTCTTCGTCATCTTCATCATCTCGCTCTAAGTCTTCTTCGTCATCACCAGCACTGCTCCCCGCCCGACTCCCTCCATGCGTACTTCCCCTGCCAAGATCTTTCAGTAAAGTCCCCAGACTCTCGACTAGTGGCGGCAGCGGCTCACTTTCGCTGTGCGAGAGCGAGGGGAAGTTTTCGCGGAAGATGGAGCAGGCTGTTTGAAGGGGGAGGGATGGGTTTGCGAGGAGGGATTCCACTACCGGGTTAAGGATGCTCATGGTGTTGGAGGGACCGGATGGATGCGGTGGTTGTTGCGAAATGGTGAGTGCTGGAATTCCACGGCCTGTTTGTAGGAAGGTACGTATCTCGCGAGTCTCTTCACCGTCGAGAATCGCGAAGGGAACGTCCGGCGGTTGTTGGTACTGATGAGGCGGTGGCGGTGGTTGTTGTGAAGGTATTGTCTGCGAAGGTGGGTGTTGCTGCTGTTGTTGATGGGGCGTTTGCATCTGATATCCATGACCGGACGGCAGCGGAACCGTGACAGATGACCTCCTCGGATCCTCCATTCCACCGCCGTTGAACGGCTGCTGCACATGATGACCCATCCCAAAGCCTCCGCTAACCCCAGGACCGCCACGACCCATCTCATGCTCTCCACTACCCCAAAACAGCGACGGTAAGCTCGGTGATCCCGGATTGGGACCACCCAGCAACCCATAAACCCACAACGTCAAGCTAGCAAAATACACAGCCATGGCATTAAACCCACTCAGCCCCGTCGGAGGCAGTGCCCTCGCCGCTCTGAACACTTGTCCCGCATGCCAGACGGCATACCTCGCATCTGTGCTTCTCACCCACCCTCCTCCGTTTGCTCCTCGTCCATTTCCTTCACCCCCAGTGCCCGAATAAGGGTCTTGATGGAGAAAATACGCCGATGCTCTCCTAGTTTCTTCTTCACCTGCTTTCCCCGCATAGGACTGGAGCTGGTTAAGATCAACATGTAAAGCCACCATGAACATCTCAAAGGTTATCGGCATATTGGAGTTTGCGATCGAGACTGGGGAGGAGACGTTAGGGGCAGGAGAAGTAGCATGTGACCCTTCTGGCGCTGGAAACGGGACTGGATACCGTCGATGCGAGACCGGGGTGTACAGCTGGCTCTTGTGCACGTAAACGACGCTGGCGGCAAAGTCCTGCGCGTCGCTGTATAGTTCCCGATGCATGGCCTTGAGTCCTTCACGGTGGTTCGAGAAGTTGCGCTGGGAGTAATGTCCGTAGTTGCCTGACATGCTTGCGACTGTGGAAGGCTCTTGGTAGAGCCTCATTCCGTAGCGGTAAGCGGAGATCTGGCCCCAGAAGGAGTGGAGAACGGCGGTATTGACGAGCTCAATGTCAACAAAGTCGACGAAGTCGTCGAGCAGGCCGGGACAGTGCATGATTTCATTGAGACGTGGCATTGGCCGATCGGGAGGTGGTGCACGTTTCATTAAGTGCAGGTCACGCCAGGCTTTGGCAGAGGGGGCTTTCCAGAGGTCGCGTGAGGAGGGGAGACTGAAGCAGAGTTCGGTGAAGGAGAGAAGGGGTGTAGTCTGAAGGGTGACAGAAGTTTGCACATCATGAAGGAACATATGTAGGGCAAGTCTGTACCGTTAGCGGGCGTGTTCCTGTAGGTTGACGGTTCAACATACCTCTTGTAAGACTCTCTATTGATGAACGTCCGCCATTTTCTCTCCAACACTTCAGGCGTATCCGAAGCTTGAGGAAGAACCGATGGTAGGTCTGCCTGTGTATAGACGGCAGCGGTGTAGACGCCGGCACGACGCATCATCTGTCCGTAACTTGGTCAATATCGAGTGCCTGGTGGTGGAAAGGGGTGGCAACCTACAATCAACAGGGGCTGCAAAAACGCCTCCGCCAATTCCGTTTTCCTCTTAAACCCGCTCCACATGCCAATAGCAAGGTGCAACGCAAAGCTTTGAAGACATTCCAGCTTCCGAGTATTCGAGTTTTGCGATTCGAACTATTTGTGTCTAGTTGTCAGTCAAATGTTACCCTACCTTCAAGTGGAAAGAAACTTACCAAACTACTTATCCTCGTCCTCACAATCTCCTGCATCGACAGCCCAAACTGCCAAATAGCCGGAACCGCAATGAAGCTAGCCCCATTCGCCACAATCGCACCCAGCAGCTCCGGCAACATCTCGGCCGGGTTTAGCGAAGGAGAGTGTATCCAGCTATCGCACTGGTACTCGTCATGCACCAGATGGGCCTGCAGCAGAAAATTGAGCACCTCCAACGACGGGAATGACGGCACGCGGTGAGGGTCGTTTATTTGCGACAAGACTATTGCGAAGAGCCGGTCCCTAGTGTCTGAGTCGATCTTGATCTTTTTCATCAAGGTTGATGGCCGGCTGGGAAGCCGGGACTGTGCGATGGCTGTTACGGCATCCTCGTCGAGATTTCGGAGCCCCGCTTCCGTCTCTTTGCGCACGTAGTCTTGCTTGTCCGCGGGCTCCCAAAGCCAAGGGGAGCGCTTGAAGGCGGCGTGACGCCGAGCTGGGTCGCGGTGACTGGTCTTCCTGTGGGCTGTCGGCCTCGAAGACGTGGTTGCCGTGTCGGTCGTGGATTGCGGGCTCTGGCTGTAGGAATCGATTTGGGGCACGGAGAAGCCGTCAAAGTTGATGTCCCAGGAGGTGAAGTCGATGTCTTGGAACCAGGGGTTTGTGGGGTTGGAGTGGACTGGGTAGAGGAGATCCTCGGGGAGAGCGTTCATCATTGGCCCTGCGATGAGATGGAGGTGATTGATTGCCCCTACGTCTTGATGTGGTTGGTGATGCGCAGGTGGGTACGGATGCTGTAGATGGTGTTGTGGGGGATGATGTTGCGGATGACCATATGAAGTCGATTGCTTGGCAGGAGGCATGCCGTAACCGCCGTTGAAGCCACCGTAAGACGATGACATGGTCCCGTCGACGGGCGTCATGGAGGCCGAGGCGGCAATAGGGGTGCCATTTTCGGAGGGCGTGAAGACGGAGCCGGCATCGGTGCCATCTGCCGTCCGGTATTGCGGTGTCTTCTTGTTGGAGGTCTCGCAGACGAGGTTCTTGAGCCGACAGCGGGTGCATGGTTTCATATCATCGCATTTTGCCTTGGACATGGCGCAGTTGAGGCATGCTTCGGCGGCGCGATCGCTCCGGCGGATTATGGCGCGTCCTTTGCCATCGTTGTCCCTGTCGTGTGTTGTCTCGTGGCGCGTGAGTAGATCTCTGCGGTGGGATATCAAAGTTAGTGATGACTGTGCCGGAAGGGTGGGCTGGGACGTGGAGCATGGGCCGGACGAAACGAGGCGATACGTACGCGCGATTGAAGCGCTTAGGACAGCGAGTGCATTGGTACTGGCGGGCATTCTCATGGGAGCGCAGGTGACGGGTGAGGTGGTCGGCGCGCTCATAGACGCGTTTGCAGATCTGACAGACGTGGTTGGAAGTCGAGGCCGGGGCGGAGGAGGGAAGCGACTCGGTCTTTGGCCGTTTGGCTCGGGGCGGGCCCGCTGTTTGCTGCTGCTGGTGGTGGCCGTGAAGAGGAGGAGTGTCAGGGAGACCTGGAGGAAGCGTGCTTGAGGGCGGGACGGCGGCGGGAATAATGGCGATCGGAGGTGGATGGGGGTGGTTGGCGCTGGCGCTGGCGGAAGAGGTGGACGAGGCAGTGTTCGTCGCATAGTCGAGCGAGGACAATAGCAGATCGGAGCCCGCGGCGTCACACAATATGTCGATGCCGTTCTGCTCCGTCGTCATGGTCATGGTTGCTTGCTAATCTAATCTTCGGATTCCCAAGGCCGGGCGACGGGAGGGTTGCGCTGAGACCCGACAGCGGGAGACGGTCAACAGTCCGCCATCCCTGGTCGTCCACGCTGTCAATGTGTGCCAATCAGCGGCTCAATGGCTCCCCATGGCGGCCAATGGCTGCCGATGCTGGCCGGAAAGTGGAAGTGGTAGTGGAGGCTAGTAAGAGAACTATAGTGGGGCCGGCCCTGTGGAGGACAAGCCCTTGTCTTTCCACTTGCCAGTGAGCCCCAGCCCTGTTGCCCAGCCCTGTGCCCTTTCAGCGGGGCCTTCAGGGGGCCTGGCCCAGCTGACCCGGAGTTCTGCTCGGACTCCTCCCCACTTTCCCCGGATCTGCCTGCCGAGGGGGTGGCCATCAAGGTTCCATTCCCCACTTCCACCTCCTTTTGCGTGGACCCTTCATTTCTATCATTTTGTCATCTTTTTACTCATCGACAAATAATCAAGCATCAGCTTTTAACGGGCTTGACACCGTTCAATGTTGGAGCCACATGCCTTTCACTGTCTTGGTCCCTTTCTCGATTTTGAGTTGATCAAACAACTAGGTCCCGGTATAACTTCCTAGAGATCTCTGCTTCCATGGTTATCCAAGTTGCGGCTCACAGCCCAGTTGATGTGCATTGTTCGAGCTTCGAAGAGTACTGAACCAAGACACTGTCGTGATTTCCTATCTGCTACCATGGTTACCTATTTTTGTTGCTCACAGTCAGCTCTGTTTGGGTTGCTCAAGCCGCCCTGAAGACACGGGTACTAAAGGTAATCGCGCCTCCTCTGGTGGGTGGTTTCATCCGATTGCGGCATGTGATGCCATGGATATCTCTCCCCGTTACCTTCTCCAAATGGTCTTTTCACCCTACTTAATCCACAAAAGAAGTGAGGTGAGTACCCAACACGAGGCCCTCACCTGTTGTGTCTCGTATCTAACCTCTAACCCATTCGAGAGGCCTCTATAATCGATTCCCTTATTTAGTTTCATTGCTCGGTGGTGTGGTGTGGTGTAGTACAGTGCTGTCTGTCGTCATATCTGTCTGCTTATCTCGACCCAGTAGGTAGAGGTAGGTTCGTCCCATCCCATGGGTTGCATCCATCCATCCATCCATCCAGCAGCAGTTTATCAATGACATTGGACTAGATATCTGCTTTTAGTTGGTCCATATCCAGCGGTACATTCGGTCGATCCCGTCGCTGAGAAAACAGGGAACGCCCATGTAACTGCACAGATGTTTAAGAGTGTGTGTGATGTGCGAGAAGGTGGGGGGGACTGGGGGACTGGGCACTCGGGAATTGAGGACGGGCCAAATTGGGCTCTTGAGACTAGGGGTTTGTTTACTTTTCCCCTTTGATTCGATTCCCTTCTTCCTCTTCTTCTTGTTTTGAATTGGTGAAACCCAAGTTCACTATGGAGAACTACTTCCCGGTCTTGTAGTTACCAGTGAGGCGAGGTGAGGTCATGATGCTACTTCACCATTGTTCTGTAGGTAGAATCTTTGCTTTGTGTTCTATAAGGTGAGGTCGTCTTTGTCATGTGTCTAGACCCATTGAAGGCCGCCTCATCTTGCCCAACAATCTACAATACGACAGAAGAGCCACCGTTGTGGGTCATGAGCTGATTTTCCCATGTTTTTCATCTATCTGGGAAACACTCCGATATGAAAGGATCTTCACCGGTCGCCTGTGGCTTCGGCCCTGTTTTGGTGTCAGGTTGTCTTCAGTCTGTGTTTGTGGTCTTGTGTCTGTGTGATGGAGTGTGTTTGGTGTGCCGTCGTGTTGGTGGTTTGGTTATTAGGCTGGTGTGCCGTGCCGTGCCGCGTCGTGTTGGGGGATTGGTGGTTGGTGAACCGTGTGTGTGTGTGTGTGTGTGTTCAGTGATATTCTTCCAGTTTCTTTTTTTTTTTGAAGATCATAGACTGCCGATTGGAGTGTTGTTGCCCAACTTATAATGAGCTTGTAACCTCAAATCGGCTGCGTCGTAATTGGTGTTCTCACTGTCTGCCTGGAAAGTAATATATGTGTTTGTATGTGCTTGGTAGGGCAACGCAGTGTATTTGCTGGATCGGTTGGTATATCATGAGCAGCCTGTGTCTCGCCTCATCCTTACTGATGGGTTCTGTTGTGTTATTGTGTGATCGTGCCACGGACAGCCTCCTCCTTTTCCGCTGTCTCGAAATTTCTCGCTGTCGGATGCTGGACCCAAATGTTTGCACATTCGTAGTGTCGTACCTGTTATTCAAGTGGTTCATCCAGTGTAAGCTGATATGAACTGGAGGAGAAATAGGCAGTGTTACGTCGGAGATGTGGAGAGATGAGTTGACGGGCGCCACTCGATTCAGGGTAATGCCACATCAGTCCCGTTGGTCCTATGTCTTGTTACACCATGTTCTTTGTCAGGAACTGTCCGGTTTTAGGAAGAGTGTCTCAAGCCTTCATGTTAGCCCTCGTTACGAAATGCCACTAGTTGTAGCCCAATAGGAGCCCTTCCGGTATTCATGTAGTGCTTGAGCGAGTATCATGGTTTCTCCATAGGTGCAACAACTTTCGTGTGCGCGTGAGCCACAAGTACTTTTTTTATTATCTCCTATCCCAATCTAATCCCCAACTTATCGTCTCGGATATTCCATCGCCCTTTTTGTATGGTTCCCTCCTTCCCTTGATGTTCATCATCCTGTGCCGGATTTCCACCTGATCGGCCCCCTTTAAGCCATGCCCGCAACACCGTGACCCCAAGGATGGAAAACGAAAATCAAGCAATCCGAAAAGGCAAGGGTATCAAAAGGCCTCCCCAAAATCTAGCATGCTTCCCAACTCCGACCCGTTGTCGTCCTTTTTTTGTCCATTCCGAAAGCCATGGCGCGAGGGAAAGAAAAGCCCAGTATTAAGTCCTCCGCAGTAGTTCTGTTGAAATGATGGATTTCGGCATTTGGCTTAAAGGCACTCATGCCTGCAGACGGGGCAGGCACGGCCTCGGATTACCCATGTTTCAGTGCCCTTCTTGAGACATTCTGGGCAACGAACACCGGGAAGCTGTAAAGCACAAGTGTTAGTCACTGTATTTACCACATGGCGGTGTTGCACTGCATATCAACTGCACCAACCGGACCACCACCCTCTTGTATGTAAAATACAAGTAACGGAAACGTGGGGTGGTGGCCCAGGTGGGTAAGGGTAACAGTGAACTGTCTTGGTACTCACATTGGCAAAGTCAACCAAGGCTCCCTGTCCCTGCCGGTTGACCAGTTCCTGCTGCTCGGGCTTGTTCATGTTGTAGTGGCAAGCGTGGGCGGGGACTGTGTGGCACATTTTTGTCGTGTTTCCAGGTTCAAAGTAAGATTATGGGGTTGTAGGAAGTGGAGTGAAGAAGTGTCGAGGTGTTCAAGGTCGTGGAAGCGTATGGGTTCAAGTGTGCTTGTAGATTGTCCGAGTGGTCAATGTCTGTTGTTGTTGTCGTTGTTCGTTGTTGCTGTTGTTGTTGTTGTTGTTGTTGTTGTTGTTGTTGTTGTTGTTGTTGTTGATGATGATGATGATGGTGCTGAGGAGGAGGACAAGAGCAAGCAGAGGGCAGGTCTATATATGCATTCCTGGCTGATGTAGCATGAAGCCGGACTCTTTCTCTTTGAGCGGGTGACGAGGCGGGATTGCGTTGGCGACAGTAAGGATCAAGGGAGCTAGGATGAACCGTGATCGTTCTCGAATTCTTCGGACGGGAGACGGCTGGCGGTAAGGGAACGGAGATGAGGAACCAAGGCCATATACTGGGTGAGGCTCCGTCATGGACACGAGGGACGATAGGAAGCCGTCGTCTGATGGACGGCGTCTTTCCGAACGGCGAGACAGCGGCTCGACGGTTTTATGCATTAGAACTGGCGCACAAAAGACAGCACACAGGTGGGAAAGTCGAACGGCCGGACCGGGATCCCTCTCCGGGAAACGGCAACGACATGTCTCCGACAAACGATGTCCATATGGGGGCCGGCACCTACCGATCACCAGCCCACAACCTGGAAGTGGTGACAAATTGGGAGAGAGACAGACAGACCCGCCGGGCGAAAAAAACACTCGTTTGGTCGTTGGTGAAATCACAGCTTGGTGTAGATGCCGGGCTGCCATTGGTCAACAGGATTCTCCGAGGACTCCATATCGCCTATGTATGTCTTGTTCCATCGTTCAAACACTCGAGACAAACCTAAGAATGCAAGGACCGGGCGCGATTTGGTTCCTGGGAAAGTCTCAACGGTCGCAGCTTGTCTAGCTTCCACTTGTCCAGCTTGGCAGCGTGCCATCTAAGTACCTATGCTGTGTACATAGCGCACTGCAAGGCGAGGCTAGCCTGGTTCAATTCTGAGACAAGTGTCGTTTGCGCAGGGCTCGCCGTCTGCCGGAGAGTTGCAGGAAATGGAAAAGTCCAGGGCATGTTTTTTCCATGACATTGAAGCCTGATCATGCAGCTTGCGGCTTGCTGCAACCGTCTTTGGACTCTTGACACTGGCACAGCGCAGCGCTAGACTACGTACCTTACCAGAGACTGCCCAGAAACTACCTACCCAGAGATAGGACATCGTTGTTCGAATCACCCAGTCCCGGTTCGTGATAGTCCAGTTCCACTCATCCTCTTTGTGTCTTTTTTTTTTGTTGAGTCGAGGTCTGGGAATTTGCTTGGCTTGAGAGAAATTGGTTTGCAATAAACGGGACTACGGGGTGTGGAAGGGATGTGAATTGTGACCAGTCAGTAAACCCAGTCCTGGGACTGGCAAGAGCGCCCCACAACTACGGTCACAACTACCAAGAAAAAGAACCTACTCACTCCAGTTCAGTTCCGCCTTCTCCAACAGAAGGACAGATAGATGATGGCGGCAAGAACATGAAATTACACAAGCAAAAAAAACTCTGCCTGAATTGGGTGCTACGTGTGCGCCGGTGGCCGCCATCTTCTCCGACCCGTCCTTTCCCGTCTGGCTGCTCTCAATCCATTTCTCCCAAGAACCAACTGACAATCCCCAGGAGCCTCCAACGACAGAAACACCATTATCCACATTCCCGACCTGATTTAGTACCGCCCGTCCCTGTTCGTTGTCCGCGAGTCAATATGTATGATATGATGGCTCATGGAGGCTGCCCCGGCTTCCCCCTTCTTCCGTTTACACTGTCACTAGCACTTCCACGATGCGCCCACTAGACTTGGTATGTATCCCACAATCCCACAATGACCCCCTGCGCGTCTGGGTTCAATTCCCGAGCAGACGGTCAACGTCCAACGCCATGGTCGATGGTGATTCGTCCGTCACCATGAACCTCTGCAGTCTGCACATCACCCATCGAGATCAAACCACCCAGCCAACAGGAAAAAAATCTTTTGCCAGCATCTCCGAGGGAAATATTGGCCAACAGGACAAGATAAGACCGTTGTCTGCCCTTCTGGTCATGCCCTCGTTCTCACTTCAACGCCCGAGCAAATCAGGAGATGAGAGCTCTGGTGGATCAAGTCACATCCACTCGGCTCAAACTAGACATCTACCGAACCTATAGCCCAAGCCGACCTCGGCCGGCTCATGATCTCAAGTCTGGGGAGCCTCATGCTAATCCACCTTACTTCGTCGAGTCGTTCTTTTACACATCACCTCAACCCCGCACATCTGGCCCCTGGGTCTGCTCGTCAACCTGACGACTCAACTCCCGACTCGCAACGAGTCCACTGACATCATATTCATGGACATCACTGCTGGCCTCTTCTCCACACTCGAACCGTGATTGCCATATTCTATCTCGATCTCATCCTTACCTTCGTTGGCGTTTTCTGAATCAAACGAAGTTTGGTTATGCCAGCTGTCACGTCTATACCCTCGCAATTCGAGTATCCTGCAACCGCGTTTCTGCAGCCCATCAGATTTCAAGATACCCAACAAACGCATCGATTCATATGTTTTTGGGCACCTTGGTCTATCTTTTTTTCGGCTCTTATGACCGGCAAGGTGTCACTTGACGTGATGCTCTCAAGACTCCCGGTGGACCGAAGAACAGCGAGCCCAACAATGGGGACCGTCAAGCCCGCCCCTTGTCGGCGTTTCTATCGGTACACTAGCGCCCCTGCATCGTCGTTGTTGTTGTGATATCAACTTTCATTCAGGACCGCCCTCCTGAAACCAGCAACATTCACGGATGGCCTGACAGGCCTCCGATGAGTTTGAAGCTCTATCGGAGTACAATTGAAGCTGTACCGTAACGGGCAAGCCCTGGCGAAAGAGAAGGGCTCAACTCATATGCTCCACCCAGATCTCATCGTGATGACGATAAGATGCTTCCTGAATACCAGCGCTGTAGCGAGGTATCTGGCATGGTGACAACCGTGAACCAATGCTGGACTTTTTGCTGAGAGGAAATCCCAGCAGTGGCAGAGCGTGCGATATCGCTGACTGACAAAATTTGCACCAATAGGTCACATGACGTTGCTGACTATTCAAAGATATGCCATCCTCTTTCTCACGCTATGCTTCACGAAAGAGCTTGAAATCGGTTTCAATTCAACACCGCGATCTTGCGTTTGCCATGCAGATTGAATCTCTCCTCGCCGACAACGTTCGGGACGCCTCCAATCTGCCGCCCACCTCGTCCCCGACATGTTTGCACCAAATAATCACACACTGTGTACATGCAGGAACAACTGCAGGGAGGCTTATTCACTGTGCCAGCAAATGATCTGATAATGGAGCCCCATCTTCCAGACCCTGACCGTCGTCAAGAGTGTCGACACCTCTACGCGAGCATGAGAAAAATTGCCTAGGAGGTTGATGGATACTTGCTCACGAGCAAGTGAGATAGATCCATATATCCCTGAACTATGTTGCCCTCCCGGAACCCTCGGTCATCGGTACTTCAGGGCAGCCGTGCCCTTCCAGAGCCCTCTGTATGATTGACAACTGACTCCGAGGAGATGTCTCTCCCAAACGGCGCAAACATTGAGTACCACTTCAAGACGATCAGTTTTTGAAGACCAGACGAGTAACGGGAACAGATCCCAGCCTTTGTGTTGCACGGAAATATCTGGCAACGGGAAACTTCGTGACCTGCGGTTGCGGTCACGGAAGGATGTGGTTTTCTCCTATCCTTCCTTCCCTTCCCTTCCGTCCTTCCTTCCGTCCTGGAACCAGACTGTTGGGAACGAATCAACTCGCAGTCCTCCGCCATCTGCTCCTTCATCTCCATGGGCCTTTTGCTTTCTTCCCTTCTCGTGGCTGTCAGTACGGTAAATACGCAAACCGGCTTGCCCGATCTGCCCGTCTTGGCCCGGCGGCACTCCGTTTTTTGTTTCCCCATCACATAACCTCACTTTCTCCGTGTCACTCCGATATTAGCGAAACGTCGGGTGCCGTCTTCGATATGAAGACCGGAAGGGAAGTAACGGGCCCCGATAAAATGTGACAAGCAACAACACAAGCAACAGATAATGCTCAACGCCTTGGGGACGAGTCGCGTTGTCTTTCCGACCTTGTCAAAATAAAAAAGAACAAAAATATTTTTTTCCTCAAAAAATGTCGGTAAGATGACATGACGTTGCTCCTTCCCGAGCTTTGTGTTTTACCGTGAGGATTGTTAGTAGGATTGACTGCACAAGTTGAGCAAAGCACTCACGCTTCTAACCCAGTGTTTTTTGTCACCATACGGAACTCGTAATGCGTAAGGCAAAGGTCTCGAACACGATCAAAACTTGGTCAAATAAAAATGAATTGACTGTGTTTGACCTTCCGTGGATCAACTTGGCCCTGACACATGAGATCGCCATAATAGACAATGAAAGCCATAAAGAAGGAGGAAAAGAAAGAAGAAAACCCCCAACCAACACAACTACCAACTTGACATGTTATTACGACAATAGGACACAAGAAAAAAAAAGACAACAACAATCGTGGTCGAACCACTAACTAAGCTTTTGCTGAACAAACGTTCCAGGAGAAGAAGCAAACCCCAGACCTATGTGATAAGTCGGGGATAAAGAAGAAAAAGGAAAAGAGAAACGAAACACTAGACGATCGATCTCCTCTGGATGGGAGGGAACTAAGATGCTAGAAAAAAAAAAATGCAAAAGGAATGCGCCAGCCGCGAATCGAACGCGGGGCCCATCGATGGCAACGATGGATTTTACCACTAAACCACTGGCGCTTAGCGTTGTTATTGAGAATTTTCGCAGGAAACTACGCCTATGAGGATGACATTAGTTAGGGGGTATGAGGTCAGGATACCCGGTCGTGGTGGACCACAGTTGCTTTCGGCTTCACCTACCCAACACAGGCGCAAAATACAAAGACTAAAAAAAAATTAGGGGAAAAGTTTCAGTTACATCCCTCCGCACATTGAAGTTCATATCGTATCGATATCAACCTGTTAGTGTAGAGACCTTAAATGGATACCGAGTTGTCTGAGTTCTCAAACAAATCTCAGAGGCAGGAGGGAGTTGACTCGTGGCTAGCGTTTTCTCTCCAGGGAATTCTTGCTATGTGTGATTCTTCGTTATGAATTTCGATAAAAACCTGAGGTCAAGCATATCGGTTTGCACGGTGAATGAAGCGAGAGAAAAAAACAGATAAGTAAAAATTGTTCATTTCTTACTAACTTCATCGCCAGTTGCTCAAATTCGAGGACCAACTGCGAGCAAACAAAGGGTATCTGATCCTTTCCAAACACATTTCCCATCCAAGAACTTCATCAGGGAACATCGCTCTGTGTCCAACTGACTTCCATATCCAACTTGTAAGCCACTAAAATCAATGTGATACCCATACGATTCCACCTGAGATAGTCTTTACTTTGCTTTGCGCATGTCTTCTTCTTCTTCTTCTTCTTCTTCTTCTTCTTTGTCCTTATACCATGCAGTCGAAAAGAAACCTGCTACCTTGAACGCCATGCTGAAATGTTCTCCACGCCAATACCGGAGTCAGGAAAAACGCCATATTAAAATATGGATATCAGGAAAACGAAAAAATAAAAATGAAAATAGAATGGATGACGACCGGGTGCCGCTGTCATGTGGCCATATGTCACTTCGACCCGACGGCAGTCTCGGTATGTGTCCGGTTTGTCGGGAAGCCCTGTCGAACATTTTTCTCGACCCTGATGAAAAGCTGCGATGCGGAATGTCCGCCGTGTCGGCGGAGTGGCCGACGGGTAAGGGGGTGATAAAGGTCGAGACATCTATATCCCCGCTGCAAGCGGTCGAGACGGATGCAAGCCCAAGCGAGAAGCTCGTTGCCGAAGCCACTTGAGGAGGGCTCTTCAACTTTGAATCTAAAGG